GACTGTGATAAACTGTATTTCTCAGTGTTTGTAGGTGTTTCCTCAGGCAACATACCCCAAAATTTGCATCTGTGATAATAGATGAAATGTAAAGATTGTGTCTCTCCTAATGTAATCTAAACGTCATCGGTCCTTCCCCACAGTACGCTGTTCCAGTGACTAAGTATGATAGAAAAGGATACAAAGCTCGCAACCGACAGCTCCTGCTCACGGCGAACAGCGCCGTTATTGTGGAGGAGGCCAAACTGAAACAGCGGATCGACTACAGCTCACTGAAAGGTGAAAAGGAAGAGAGATAGTGAATAAAACTGTTCTTACACTTTGTTTGACTGCTTGGTTGGATCCAGAGTTCATTAGTTCCAATTTTTCACATTACGTTATCAATGTGTGTACTACCATGAGTACTAGCTTTACTACCATGAGTACTAGCTTTACTACCATGAGTACTAGCTTTCCATCATCCCAAATACTTTGTCTTATAGGCGACCTTTCCGAAATCCATATCTCACAAAAATATAGGAATCCGTTGCTCATCTCTCTAGCTGTCGCTAAGAAAGTAGTTCTCCAAAACTGGAAATCAAAGAAATCTTGCCACATCAATCACTGGACAAATTTAATCTCAGTACACATCTCAATGGAGAAACACAACGCACACAGAAGGAAGCAGATATCAGCCTTTGAAGACACCTGGTGCCCATTTTTGACATTTTGACATTTCTTAATATCACACAAACATAACTATAAGCCGTGTACATTACCAGACATATACCTCCCCCCTTCCGTTACTGCAGCTATCACTTCATACATACACATAGGCACATACTATCCACACTCATGCATAACATGTTTTCAAAACCCATTTCCCCTCAAACACCTTTACCGTGATAAACTAATGTAAATCTCAGATCTACAGGAAAAATTTGCTCAAGTTTTTTTATTTTTTTATTTATTTTTTATTATTATTATTTATTTTTTTATGTTGTTTGTCTGTCACCTTGTCGTGTCTTATATGTACGCGATACACTCTGTAAGTGGTGCTATAATCCCCCCTCCACTTATGTACCCAGGGTCTCACTAAATGGGGTGAATGGATACGCACTGTATATAAATCTATTGGGTCTCATTCATGAAACACGAGCAGAACGAATTTTTGTGTAAATCGTGTGTAAAGTGGTTCTGACGTAAATTTTCGGATTCATTAAAATGTTCGTATTTTCCAAATGTTAGTTGGTACACAAGAAATCTACACCTGCTCCCCAGCCACGCGTAAATAGTGCGCTTAACACCCGAACGTTTTGCTCATTAATAAGGCTGCATTTTAATTCACCTTAATCGGGTACATATTTGCACAGCATTTTGAAAAAATATTATATATAGTAATTACCTACGGTTTTTCTTATTATGAGAGCCAGTAATAGCATCTGCGATGGTGGTCCTTCTCCAGTTTGAATACTATTTTTCCGAAGTGAACTAATTCGTTTTTTGCTCTCAAGCTTAATGTCGAACCATTTTCTTCTCACTTCTGGGAATGTTCGATTAACAGATGAAACTCCATTAACTGCATCTGTAATATGCTGCCAAGCTTCCTTTTTTTTAGGACCCGATACACCACTATGTACGCTTGAAAATAAAATGTGGCGTTTTGAATGAACTTCTGATAATAAAACTTCAATTTCTGCATCTGAGAATTTTTTTTTTCATTCGCATTCATGTCATAATATGATGCCCATATATAGTTGTCAGTCGGATTTAATGGGCGGGATTTATGGTAATTGAGAATGAATGTGCACGCGCATCCCATTTACGACTGATTGGAATTCATTAACACACACACACATTTCACTATCACATCTGACGTTTACGAAGTATTTGTGAATCAGGAGAAGAGTTTTCGGGAAGGTCTCTTTACGCGCAAATCACTCACATATTTACTCGTATATTTACGAATGTTTCATGAATGAGACCCACAGCCTGTATTGTAATATATTGTGTATATTTTTTTTTCTTTATTAAAAATAAAGTTGTCATGACAAAAAAAAAAAGAAAAAGAATCAAAAACAAATAAAAAAAAGTGACACACTTCTGTTTTATCTGTAGGGATTTCTGTCAGCTCTCTAAGTGACGGCATGTTCGTTCTCCATGTTGCTTGTGAAGACAATAAGCAGAAAGTAAGTCTAAAGATCGATTATTTGCTTTTATTTACCTTAAGTGCTAAACTTCCTGTTGTCAGAGTGAATATGTGAACTGTATTGGTGTCACAGGGTGATGTGGTGCTTCAGAATGAGCATGTGATCGAGACATTAACCAAAGTGGCTATCTGTGCTGACAAGATCAACAGCATTAACATTAACCAGGGAAGGTGAGTTGCAGGCGCAAAAGTATCATTTTGTGAAATACTTTGAATTCTGAGATTTAGACAAGTCTGTCTTAACTCAGATTATGAAATTATTATATTATACTTTTATGAATAAAAGCTTTTGCTTTCCCTCTCATGGACAGTATAACGTTCAATGTGGCTCAAGGAAAAGAAGGGATCATAGATTTCACATCTGGCTCAGAGTTGCTGATAGCCAAGGCTAAGGATGGACACCTTTCTGTGGTGAGCATTGCTGATGAAATGAATTGTAATGTATCCAAATTATTTCAATTAGAAAAATTAAAAAAATGAACGGGTGTGTTTTTATTTCTCAGATTGCCCCCCGCCTCAACTCAAGATGATGGACGAGTCATGACCAAGCTCTTCCTGCGTTCTCACATGATCTTCCAGATATGCTTTTTAGCTCATCAATCACATGACTACAGGCAGAGCTTATCTCTGCAAACGAGACGCCAGCCAGCTGCACCAAAGGCCTCTGCTTTCAGTTGTGAAAATCTAGCGACTTATTTATGTTTTGGGGTTTAATACTGTTATATGAATATTATGATTTTATACGTCAAAGCCAAGAAATAACAAAATATGTGCATTTTTCCTGCACTCTGTCTTTATCTAGCTTTTTTGGGGAATGTTGATTGATTTGTTAGAGAAGGTGACCTCAGCCATGTTACCGAGGAAAATCAGGGTTCGTAATTTTTAGTTATTCGCTTCGGTTCTATTTATGTTCACCCGTGATTACTTTTCCATGGATCCTGCAATCCAAGCCTACTCGGACCCAGTACACTTTTTCTTCCAGTGAATTACTGTCATTGTAATGTGAGTTATAATTACTTGGTAACTAAATTAAAACGTTCATAGGAAAGGTATTAATTACTTTTTGCATATAGAAGATTACTTGGAGATGTTTATATGGACGGATAAACCTGTTCTATATATTTTGCTTACAAGCCTAGTAAGTTATTAATATTAGTTGATGTGTTCAAGAGAAATAAGAATGAACTTTTAAAGAACTTATGCCAAGTGCATTGAAGGTGTGTGTTATGTATGAAAAGGCTCCAGAAATCTTAATGTTGATGGAAAGAATGTGCACATTACAACCAGTGATAGTAACTATGCTAGAGCACTAGCTCCATTTTTCACATTGTGATTGGTTCGTCATTCATTACTCATATTAAGAGTTTGAAGATCAGTAAATGTCTTTTCTCAGTCCCAAATCTGTGCCTCGAAATGTTAGGGTTAGGGTTAGAGAGTATTTTTGATAAGATAAGAAAAGTGTTCCTGTAGAAATGGGATAAAATGGACACAAGATTGATCTCCAGTGGTGAATCACTCAGGCTTTGTGCTCCTAATACACTGGACACAATAATCCTATTAATGCCATTTCCCCCACATTAGCAATGCTCTAAGCTTGTGAGAGATGTTGTTAGCCCTAATAGTTTGGGAAGTTATGTGTTATCTACAAAAAAAGGCTTGTTTATTTCTCTTGAGGCAGGTTTGTGTATATGTAGATAAAAAGTAACAGCACTACTAAATGTTTGCAAACCAAATTTAAATGTTATTTTAGAAACTAAACGTGGAAATTTGGCATACCCAAGTGCACTGTAGGATTTCAGGCACCGAAAACCGTTAATAGCATAATTATTTGATATTGCCTTGATGACATGACTGGTAAATGAGAATGTTCAGAGAAACATTGAGCATGGGCCTACCATAGCTAGTGTCATAGTTGAGGATACTTAAAAGAAAACACTGTAAGAATGCACGTTAAATGCTTCTTTTGCATAAGTGCCGCATGTAATGTATTTAGAACAAATATCTATTTTTGACATATATAAAATACCCCAATACTGTACACACAAACTCATGGCCCACCAGTTGAGATGTAATTCACACTTTGGGATTTTGTTTTATACTATTTGTGTAAAATACCTGGAAATCTGTCAATTTGAAGCAAACTGACAATGTATCTGAGCATATTAAAGCTGATTAAAAACATTGAGGTGCCAGCTCTATATTTTTTCATGGGAATGGGTATTTGTGAACTCATTATTTGTATTTCTTGCTTAGTTATCATATGCTGGAAATTTAGTTTTGCATTTCATAAAGGAAATATTTATATTTGAAAGGCAGAAAATTAATTGCGTTCAAGTTTTGGTAACATGATCCAGTAAAGAAAGAAAGCCTGGGGAATAGAGAGACTGATGTCATTGTGATGTCACTGACAATTTTGTTATTTTTTTCACTGGCAAAGTTTTGAATGAAAGAATTGCACATTGTAAAAAATGTAACGTCAATGAGAGTTTTTCCACGTTTCACGTCAACTATTCTAATGTTTAATTTCTTTAAAACTGTTAAGTTTATGAAAGTCAAAATCACAGCAAAACAAAAGCATTTTGAATAGAGTCTGATTAAAAGTGTTGGAGTTTAATTAATTATAAATGTAGCCGATGAGTTAATTCTTGTCATTAGCGTAGGCTGTACTCTACTGTGTTGGAAGGATGCATTTGGAAAACCCCAGACATGGCGGAGACTGGCAGTCATAGCTGGCAGTGGGCGGAGATCCTTCAACTTCTTGAATTCTGCTATTTCCCAATATATCAGGTGACTTGGAGAAAAATACATATAGTTTTTTCAGTCATATTTTTAAACACCTAAGATCTTTCCGTTTTCACTATTGCGATAAATATGTGCGCAATGGTATGTTATCGATAAGAGCTTCTGATTTGTCAAGATAATTATGTTTATAATACGGTAATTAATATGTCGCAAAAGAAGTTTCACTTTCAACCGCTATTGAATCAATGAGAGTCTACGGAAGTGTGGGAATAATGCGTGTGACCCTGTAAGTTAATTTATTTCACGTTATTTTTTATTAAGTTTCGCTGTGGTTATATGGAACTGTTAATTTATTCATTTGATGTACACAAATCAAACCGTAAATTGAATGGGATAGACTTAACTGTCATTTTCCGGGCTGAAGTCGGTTAGCCTAACTTAGCTATTCGCAAGATTCCTTGTCCCTGTCATAACCAAATCATCTTAAACACAGTTTAAAGAAAACATTCACTTTCTATTTATGTTTGTTATTGTGGTTATATTTAGATATACATTTCCAATAAGTAATAGGCCTGCCTATTATATTTTTGGAAAACGATAATCGCATTGTTGCAATGGTGGTAACTTCAAAGGCTTGTGGTTTCTGCAATTTTTTTTTTTTAAACATTACTGAAATAGGCTACTAAAAAGAATAAATTCTTTTAAATTACACATTTTCTTTTGACTTCCTTTAGGGTGGGGGAGGTGAAGCCTTAATTAGGGGTCCCCAGACTCCCTATATAATCAGAAACATATTAAAGTGATGGCTGTTGGAGTCTGTTGCACAGAAATTCAACAGCGTCGCGTGGAGCTGGTGGAGAACTACAGCGAACACCTTACTCGCCTGCTGGACGTACTGTTTAACGTGGGGGCGGTGACCGAGGAGGACCTCAGTCTCATCAGAGGTTCGGCTGTTAGAGGTGAGCGAGAATGTATGAGATTACTGTTGGATGTGCTGAACGGGAGAGGAGAAGAATCATGCAGGGCGTTCCTCTACATACTGCAGAGTGTTCAAGGTGAGACAACAAACCCAGGACAGGCCAACAAGCAAGAGCATCTCAAAAAGCACAAGGACATCTTGGCCAGACAGCACAGTCTGGTGGACTATCTCAGCATCAGAGGGCACAATTTAGGGCAGGATGAAACCTGGTACTTGACTGATATCACCTTCTCAAGACAAGCTGGTTATGCATCGCCTTCTCAATGCCGACATGAGTCAGCAGGAGTTGGGGATGCTTTCAGGACACGCACGGATGAGATCTGCGTTTTCAGGGATGTGTATGAGAATCTGCTGTCCAAACTATCAAGTGGTGTGAATATGCTGTCAGGAGTTGCTGGAAGTGGGAAAACCACGGTTGTGAGACGGCTGGTGCGAGAGTGGGCTGCAGAAAACACCTCGTCCAAGATTGTCCTATCTCTGGCCTTTCGTGAGCTAAACCTCATAACTCAAGAGCAGAGCTTGCAGGACCTGCTCTCGGATCACTACATCCACCTAAAACCTGTCCTGCACGAGTTACTGAGCTCCAACCCACCCAAGTTTTTGCTCATCTTAGATGGTCTGGATGAGTTCTGCTACCCTCTTAATTTCGAACACACTCCCAAGTGCTCAAATCCTGAGCGGGTGCAGCCTATACAATCCATTGTGGTGAACTTAATCAAAGGAATTCTGCTTCCAGGCGTGTCCATTTTCCTCACCTCACGGCCTCATGCGGTCTCCAAAGTTCCTCCAGTGCTGGTCAGTCATTTTTACAGTCTGCTAGGTTTCTCTTTAGCCCAGCAGAAGAAGTACTTTGAGCAGAACTGCAGTTCTCCGGAGGCTGCCGCTGCAGTGTGGGCCTCTGTTTCGTCCCATAAGCCCCTTCTCCTCATGTGCCACATTCCTGCATTCTGTTGGATTGTGTCCACTGCCTTGCTTGACGGTGGCTCCTGCCTTTGTCCTGATTCTGTAAGTGCCAAGTCAGGAGAAAAAGTAGTCCTTGAGAAAGCCAACCAACCGAACTCTTCATTGGGACCTTCTGAGGTCCTTCTGAGCTCCAAACCAGTCACGATCACTGAGATCTATTGCTGCTTTGTAAAATCCATCGTGCTATTCCATGTGCAAGGGCATTGCGAGGGCTCTCATCACACCAGGCTTCAGCACGCCCCTCATGTCCTTGGCGAAATGCAGCCTATTCTCAAAAGCCTGGGAGCTATGGCCTTCAAAGGCCTCCTGGAGAGACGGTTCATCTTCGAAAGCTCTGATTTGAGCTCTTTTAATCTGGATAGCACCAAAATCTCACAGGTGTTCCTCTTTGAGATACTTAAAGAGGATCGAGCATCCCTCACCTTTGAAAAGGGCTTCCATTTTATCCACACTAGCGTGCAGGAGTTCCTGGCTGCCCTGTACTATGTTCTTCAGTCACTTTCAGGATCAGATCCATTTTTAGGGCTCAAACCAAGCACAGGCCAGTATCTTCAGTCTGCGTTTAAGCAGATAGCATCTGCCTTTAACAAATTCGGCAGACCTCAGCGCCTCTTCCGCAGACGCATTAAGAAGGCCCTTCGCTGTGGTGTACATCATCAATCTGGACACATGGATCTTTTCTGCAGGTACCTTTAAAACTGTTTTCATATTAAATGCATTTTCATACGTTAATACATTCTGTGTCAAAAATCTTTCTATTCAAAATCATTAATGCAAAATGCTATTCATTCATACATACAGTGACTTGAATGCACATCTTGGTATTTTTTTATATTAATATTTTCTGTTTTTAATCAGAAAAAATATTTTAACAAAACCTCTTATTATTAATATCTGAAAAAGTCTTGTCTGCTTAATTAAAGTCATGTGGTACAAACAACATGAAAAAAAAAAAAAACGAAGCAGGAAAGTATGTCATAGAGAGAAAAAATGTAGCTTTTAATGATGCAAAGCAGGTTAGTACAGGTTGTCAAATGTTATGAATGTGGTGCGACTCGCCAAAAATTAATAATACATAAATAATTCACAACAAAAACTTTCATACTTGTAAAAATAAGTTTTCTTGGAAACATAGATAATTTTTAAACCCAGTAAACCCATTTTCCACCCCAATTGTTTTAAATGCAATGTTTTCTTCTTTTTAAAAGATTTTTTGATAGCTCTGATTTACTATGATGACTACATTACTGACCAGTTATTTCCGCTTATCCAGGTTTGTATGCGGCCTGCTGGTTCCTAGAGCACGTCTCATCCTAAATGGATTTTTCCCTGATGGGCCCAAGATGCATCTGCTCCGTTGCCAGCCCTCTCCTGACCCGACTCCTCCTTTCCTCCTCCATCTGTTACACTCCCAACTCCAGAGCTCCGCCCTCAGCCCAGAGAGGCAGGTCAATGTTTGTCACTGTCTATATGAGGCCCAGGACCCTGGTTTGTCCCAGCGGCTACAGGGTTGGATGAAAGTTCTTTCACAGCAGGCCCCAGGTCAGTCCGGTTCGGTAAACAGGGACTGGAGCGAGCTGGCTTTCCTGTTACAGCTCAGCTCAGATCTGCAGGTTTTAAATTTGGACGCTCAAGGACTCGATGCTGACGGATTACGCCGACTCCTACCTGTCCTTCCTCTCTTCTCAACTCTCAGGTAAATAGTGTAGGCTGGTAAGAGCTGTAGGCATAATTATTCAGTGATGATATGATGCATTCATCATTAAATATTATTATTTATTGTACTTATTGTGTGATATGTATTGTATGTTCTTTGCATAAAGCCTTGGCCAGAATCCTCTTGGTTCAGAGGGAGCGTCTGTGTTATCCCTCGTTCTGAGAAACCCAGATTGCCGCATTCAAAGCCTTTGGTAAGTAAGATAAGAATTATTATAAATTAATACATTATCATTTAAAAATGATCATAATTGAACTAATAAAGTGAGACTTTATCATGACTGTGTATGTTCAATATAGGGTGGTTGCGACAGGGCTTGGCTGTGAAGGCCTGAAAATCCTTGTGGAAGCACTGAAAGAAAATCGTACTGTGACTGATCTCAGGTGAACAGTGAAAAAAAACATAATTTCTCATTACAAATACACACAAATTGCATCTTACTCGATATTTACAATATCATTCTTTCATTAGAATGGCCATCAATAAAATTGGAGATGATGGAGCTGGTTATCTTGCAGAATTGTTGAGGACGAATTGCACACTGACAGATATCAGGTGATCGAGACTACCCAGTCTTTCTAGTCAATTATTTATCTTCAGTGTTCACTTTGTTTAAACATTTTGCCTTCAATAGACTTCGTGACAACCTAGTGACAGACAAAGGAGGAGAAGTCCTCATGGCTGCTCTCAAAGAGAACACAACATTAGAGTACCTGTGGTAAGAACCATTTATAGCTGATTTATTTCAGTTTATTTCCTTGTGATTCTGTAACACAAGTGGCATATATTTTCTTTATCCATCGCAGGATGTTTGACAACAAGTTTACCAAAGACGGCGTCAAGAAGCTGAAAGAATTCGCAAATACCAGACCAAACCTTGACATTAAAGTTTGCGTCTGACCCACAACCGACAAACCAGTGGAATATCTCTAAATGGCATTTGCTTTATTAAACTGGCTCATTTACATTTATTTTAATATTAGTAAAACTTACATATTACTTTTAACACACATTAGACTGTTAACCACTCAGGCTACTACTGCCCTCTACTGGACTTTTAAAGAGCTGTGGGTACTTATTGGTATGGTACGTTTGTAATACGTATTTAATTTGCATTTGGCTGTAATATAACCAGAACTGTCAATGATTCATAGAAAGTTATTTCTAAAGACACTGAATTGCATTTATTTATTTTGTGAAATACCTTTTTAATAGCAAAACCATTCATTTTGGCTAAAATCCACACAAGAAGATTTTACTGAAGCTTTTAAGTGCTTTGAGGACTCTAAAATGGCTTTTTTAGCACATCTCAGTTCTTCTTGTATACTTTATAAATTCTTTTCTTCTTTCTCTTTTCTGCTATAGTGTCTCAGAGCAGTTTGACAATAATACTTTATTGCCCTTTTTCTTTCTGGGTGCTTTTACATGCAGAGCTCATACAGGGTTCTTCTTGGATGCTTCATAAACAGAAGTAAAATGTATGTGTAAAATACACAAAGGTATAGTATTCTTTGGTTAGTCGATTCAAAGATACTATCAAATCAGTGATCGACATGTGAAACTATTGACTTCCTTTATTTATTACTGTTACTTTACATCAAGCCAGTTACAATATATCTGTCAGATAATAGTGTTTGCAACATTGTACGCCTGTCTTCTCTCTGAAAGTTGCATAATGTTCATGCATTGTTATATGATTAATTGTCGTAACATCACGAAATATGAATTGTTATAACAAGTATTATTGCTTAGCAATTCTTACAATGCAAATTACAAGTGTTGTTATGCAATCAATTAAAACAAGATGTACAAATAGATGTTCAATAAACACATTATATGGGTTCTCCAGATTCCATTTTGCTTTGGTAATGGAGTCTGTGGTTTGTCATCACACCAAAGTTCAAACCGCATTGCTTTAGATGTATAATTCCATAATATTGCTGCATTGAATGCAAAGGCTTGCCATACATGTGCATTCTCACATCTATCTCACTGTCAAGTCTCAAACATTGCATACGTTTATTGATGTGCAGAATAGAGGATGAACAGCAAAAAAAATAGGAGTTTTCACAGGTTCCTGAGGAATATTTAATATCAGTAATCCCTCATAAAGTAGTTTACTTGTATGTATTTGAATGTAGTTGCTCATTTAAACCACCAGATGCCGACGTGATGTTTTTCGACTCATATCACTCCTTTGTTCAGTTAAGTGCTTAGAAAGAGTACAAGCAATAACAGAAAACCTGATAATACCGTAAAAAGTGCTTTGGTCATTGGTTCAGTTAACTTCTCTTTTGATATTTGCTACTCAATTAGACTATTTATGCAATGTCAATCACAGATAAATGCGACTTCAGAAGTATGAAAAGAGCTCAAATCTGATACACAAAGAGCAAAGTGACTTGTTTCGTTTTCATGGAAAAACTATAATGTACATTGAGACATTTGGCAAATTTGATTACGATATGTTATGTTTATATCATGTGCCAGTCTTCTAGTGGTTTTGCAATAATGTCTTTGATGAACAACAGCTTAGTCATGAGAGAGATTGAAATCGTAAAATACGAGGACGGATTAATTGTTTGGGTTTTGTTTGTTGTTGTTTTTTAATGAATTTTAAAAAGCCATAAAAGGTCATCAAATTCCGTAAAATTGTAGCAGGGACCACAACAATCCGGTGTGTTCTGTGAATGTTCTTTGCGCTGGAGCAAAATATAATGTGCAATTATTTATATATTTTAGCCGATCGGCGGTTTGATTGGCTGGTCTCATCTCTAGCTCAGGACCCAGCCAATGGGGAAGTTGGCTTGTTTGTGTGAAGCAAGCGGTGCAAATATAAAATCGGGAGTAAGAGATGTTGGGAAATAAATGTATGTGTGAACATAACCCAAAGAGTGAAATTGGCATCATAAGGTTGTTTATACCTTTTCTACTCTGAAGAGAGCCGAAGCGAGGATTTGGTGAGGGAAATAGGTATGACTCATGTATAAGGATGCTCTGTTGTAAGTTTATCCTAAGACTGTTGATGTAATATATACTCATTTTATATACATTTTACACAGTCATTGATAAATAAGTAAATCGTTTATTTTGTTTTAAAATGATTAAATATTGATGTAAAAAAATGTTAGATTATTTTTGCACAATTCTTCAATATGACAAAGACTATTGGACCGTTATTCAATACCTGTATTTTATTATATCATTGCACGTTTTCACGTTATAAACTAAACTGTGATGTGTTGTTTGAATTGTATATAATGCGGTTTATGAGTTTTATGCCGCAACTTTGTTCAATCTCTTAATAGCTGTATGACATTCAACTTGCATTGAATAGGCCCAGCATCGACAATTGTTAATTTCCGAAAAATGCTTAATGATTGTCATGATGTTATATGAGCTTTTACATTTGCCGTCGGAACCAGATATGTATCAGATATGATGAATGGGAAACAGAACAGCTGGTACATCGTATGAGTTAGCCTATATATTACAATGTCCACATTTTTTACAGCGAGCATTTATTTAGCCTAGTACAGAACAATAGTGTGTGAAGCGATAACCAGGAAGTGCATTTGTCGCGACTGTTATTCAGTGCAGAGTGTGTATCCTCTGAACAGCTGAGCTCTGTTAGTATGCATGAGGAAGGAGTGGAGAGGGGTGCACATACACACACACAGGCGGAGGCACTGATGATGATGATGCCTGTCCAGTTTAGACCAGTTTTGGGGCTGCTCGTTTTCCGCAGGATGCTTAACGTAAACACATATATAAGACATCGCGCGTAAATCAGGGAAGATAATTCAACCAGAAAATCAATAATGATTGAAATAGTTTTATGAGGCGTTTGTGCGCATATAAAACAACGTGTAAGATGTCTGTTTGCATTCCATATTCTACATCGTTTGTGCAAAGCAAACAGAATTGAATCGTATAATTGTATGACAAAATGTCACTTCGCCAGTGGATAAATAGATTTTGTACAAAGATATCCGTAGCACAAAGCGAACAACTCGCGCCGCACTGGTTCGAACCGGCTTGATCTTGGTCTCACGTGGAGCTGTTCTCTGAATCTGTTTATCTCATAGCCAATGAGAGGAGAAGAGAATGTTCAAACAGCCAATCGGAGGCTAGCAGGGAGGGACTAGAGGAGGGAACTGGTTTCGATCAACAACATTCTCTTTTGGAACTCAGCTGTTTTTTGTTTATGAGCTGTTTTGTAGCTAAGCGAGACAAAGGAACTGAATCTAAATTATGTTCGAAAGGAGTTGCGGTTAAAACATTGTGTCAACAAAAGAACATTCACTATACTGGGATAACAATGTAATAGTTGGGAGATAAAAAAAAAAAGTCAAATTTATCATTATACATGTATTAAACATGTAAATGTTATTATAATTTATTGATATTGTTTAGTATTCAACATTAAAGAACTGACATCCAACTCTATGGCCACTTTCACAGGATTGCCCAAAGTTTAGGGGGATTTCCTCAGTATTACCAGCACAGACTGTATCATCTCCTTCAGTCATGGCTCCCTCACTGGCCACAGCCTTCTCCAGGCGCTGGTGGATGGCGATTACTGCGGTAATCGAAAACCTGTTGTTCTCTGCTGTCCTGCTCGGATGGGGCTCACTGCTCATTATGTTGAAATCAGAGGGCTTTTACTCCTACCTCTGCAGTGAACCAGGTAAGGAGGGGACAAATGAGTGCACTCAGTGTTACAGAAACTCGTAAAGACATTAAATGCACTATCCACAATAGATGCCAGATCGAATGCTGAAAATAATTACGTGAACATCAAAGAAAAGTCTAATATATATACAAAGCATATTCATTTGCTTTAATAGCTTTGTTTTCACTCTTTCCCCACTCAGATTTTAACAGTAAATGTTTGGCAGATTGACTCAAACCATCTTGAAATGCAGTTACCTTAAGCAAAACTTGTAGTATTATTTCGCAAGTCGCAACAACAGAGGCTGCAGCATTATGAAAAACAAAAATCTCTGTTGTCTGGCGCCCATCGCAGGGCTTGTGGAGGAATCCAAACCAGAATATCAATCGATCACTGAGAGTCAGTGCACCTTATTTGGAAGCCCTCTTGCTTTGTGTTGCCATTAGGAATTACAAACAGCATCTACAAGCTTGTTTGGCGTCAGAATTTTGGCAAAGTGGGTCTAGACTCTAGATAATTTGAGCTCCTTCACAGAGTTGATTTCAGGGTAAACAGAGAACATCAATCTGCTTAGCTTATATAACACAGTATAGATATTTCCATGTGCAGCTGTATCATCTTAAGGTCTTAGTGTGAAAGAAAATGTTTAATCAAACAATAAATATCAAGAAAACTTATAAAGAACTGTGATATGCTAGACTATTTGTGGATTTTCTGAATAGCTAAAAGAGTGTAGACCACTTAACAAAGATGAAAGATACCAACCATTCCATGCACTGATATGTGGGTCAACTTATTATTTATATGTTAAAGCACAGCCTTTAAAAAAAATGTACACTGCAAAAAACAATTTTCTCAGTTAGTATTTTTGTCTTGTTTTCCAGTACAAATATCTAAACATTTTTAAATCAGGTTACATAAGAAGCAAAAACACTTAAACATTAAGTCTACATTGTTTTTATAAAAATTAATTGTGTTCATAGAATCTTAATTCAAAGTGAAACCAAGTCACATTTTTCAGAAAACAAGGTCTACTATCATTTTACTTCTCAAGTAAATGTATCTTGATTTAAGAATGTATAGATATTTGTACTGGAATACAAGACAAAATACTGAGTAATAAATTATTTTTTCTGTGTAATTAATCCAGATGAATATAGAATCTTAACTGGTATAGGACTGTTCTGGTCTACTTACAACTCTTGGCAAAAATGTGTCTAGGTCATGATGTTCATCTGTGAAGAACAGCTTGTTCCTACTGAGCTCCGAGATTAACTTTATTTATTAATACATCATGTACTGATCATAGACTGGTACTGGTGCACATAGAATCATACTTATACATTAAGACTGCTAATGGAGTTCATGTCAACAATGTCATTGTCACAGGGCCAAATGGCTTAGACATAATAAAAAAAAACATGGAAGCAATGTGTGCCTGTGAGCCATATTTCAAAAAACCTTTGGGGTATACAGAACGAAGATATGCAACATATATACAGTATATGTGGGAGAAAAGTGTGCAGTGCAATGATAACTAAAGACTCAACAGTTCGATTTTTGTTGACCTCCTGTCTGTTCATATTGTTCACTGTCATGTGGCTTCTGATAATTCAACATTTTTGCTAAAAGTTTAAAAATCTCTGCTTGCTGACAATAGTGTAAAGTTTATTTTGGAGTGTAACGTCTTGTTCTTCAAAGACTTCTTTCTGTGCTGCTTTGATTTAGACTTTTTCAGTGAATTGGGGTCAGGAGACTCAGCCATGCTGCTCTGAACTGGCCCTGGTTTATGTTTCATTTTTCCACTGTCTCTTAAACGATTTAACACGCCTTTGTGAAAACACATTTCCGAAGTTCTGAAGAAACAGCCGGACTACTTTGATGACCCATTAGCACAATGGCTACAAATAAACTTAATCGCCATAATCTTCTCTAGGGGACTTCTGTCATCCGTTCTTTACTTATTAGGGCCCAAGCCCTAAGGGGCGAAGGGCCCCATTGTTTTCCTAAGGTTATTATTATTATTATTATTCAAACTTAAGGGCACTTTTGGGGCCCTTAACATGCTCAAAAATTTTGCACACAAGTGGACATGGGGGATCTTGGGGGCTCTGTGGCACACTCTTTTATCTGGTTGTATTTGAGGGGCTCTGTAGCTCTCTCTGCTTTTCACCTACAGGATGCTAAATTACTAGCGGATTTTTGATATCGCAAACGGGTTGGCCTTGGCGAGGCAACAAATATATGGCACAAAAAGGGAAACAGGAAGTGTACTATAACTGCATACATTGACTGATTTTGATTAAACTTCAGCTGTGTGTTCATTGTAGGAAGCAGATCACATGGATGTGACTATTGTGAGTCAATGTCTTAGCGCCACCAACAGGCAGCAGGAAGTGTGTCACTTTCAAAATGCTTTGAAATCGCCCTCTTATTTTAACCCAGTTTGCTTCAAACTTCGTCAGAATAATGTAAAGACAACACAGGTGTACACAGAGTTTTGTTAGTTTTACCTACAGTCACCAAACTCGCTACATATATTGTTCTCATCGTGCCAGACAACTTTCTAATTTACAGTCATTAGCTCTGACCAACAGGAAGTCAGCTATATTTGTTTGAATGTGGATATCTTGAATCAAGCTCTGAATTTTTAACTACTGGTCCAAAGGGCTTCATACGATTCACAACTTTCTCAACATGATGGCAATATATTGAAGATGCTAAATTGCCAACGGGTATTGGATATCTTGAATGGTGTTGCCATGCCGATGAATTAAAGTAATGACAAAAAGGGAAACTGGAAGAGTCTTATATCTTCTAAATAATAAATTATACACCATTGTGTATATTTTGTCTCTATATAAAGTAATACAAATAAAAAATAAAAAGCACATTTTTTTTTTTTTTTTTTTTTTTTTTATATGCAGATTTTGTGCTATCTGGTTGAAATAAATAAGTAAAATGAAATGTAATACATAGCATAACCACTAGCATAGGCCTAAAAATAACAGTTGACAGATAACAGACTTTGACATAGTTTTTTAACATTTACCCGCTTTAAATCTATATTGCCCGCCGTGCACAGTTGCCCGCGGTGGCGGTGGTGCCATGTCTTGGGCCCGTCATAACTGCTTGCAGCTTTATTCTTGTGTTTAAGAATTTGTAGTGAAGTTCCAAACAGAGTAGTGGCCTAGTACAACACTTATTTTGAAACTTTTTGAGACTTTTATTGATAGAATAGTGGGAAAGGTCAAACACATCAATGCACATTGCAATCCTGACATTCACGTTTCCCTTGTCTTTTTGATTTCAGCTGTTGTCAGCATCTAGTTCAGAGATTCTTGACACCAGGCCTCACATGTCTGATGACACAAGGAAGCAAATGTGGCTCAAGTGTTTGCTCAATCTAAATATGAGATTATCTTGCCATTTCCTCACGTTTCCCTTGGACTCAGCTGTCTATTTCACATTATCAGCTGGTTGGTTCTCTTTAATCAGCAGGCATGAGGAAACACTGACCAGGAAAATGCTTGTCTGGCTAAATGCTTTGGTTCGGCACTTCTGACTGAGTCTGTGTTCATGACGTTTTTGTGCGTCAGACTCGTGTTGAATTCTCATTCCATTCTGCTCTCGCTTCTCTATATCAAAGCAAATGGAAAATCAGGCCTGGCTGTCTCTGGTTTTTGCTGTCGCTGATTAGATCTAGTGGAACAATGGGTTCAAACGTCTGAAATAGAGCTACTCGTTCATCTGAAGAGACCTAAAATGTGAATCCAACAAAACCTGTCTACATTTGCAAGTCATATTTCAACCCAAATGCATAAGAAAATGGAGGCTGTTTTTAGGGTCATAACATTTTATTTTTTATGTTTTAATGGATATTTTATTCATAAGTATACACCACCGTTCATAAGTTTGAAAAAGTCTATAAGATTGTTTTATGTTTTTGAAACAAGTCTCTTATGCTCACCAAGACTGCATTTATTTGATCAGAAATCATTCTAATATGCTGTTTTGCTGCTCAAGAACATTATTTTTAATTAATTATTAAAATAATAATAATATAAATAATAATAATTATATATAATTATTGATTAATTTTGAAAACAAAAAAGTTGTAATGCTTAATGATTTTGTGGAAACCGTGATCGTTTTTTTGAGGATTCTTTGTTGAATAGAAAGTTCAAAAGAACAGCATTTATTTGAAATAGAAATCATTTGATTATATCATTATAACTGTTTTACTGTCACTTTTGATCAATTTGATGTCTCCTTGTTAAATAAAATTAATTTTGATTGCTTAAAATATTACTGACCCCAATTTTGAACAGAAATAAAAATAAAATGTTATTTATGCTTTAATTAATGATTCAATAATGTTACCATGCAAAAAAAAAAATCTTAATGGTCTTAAAACAATCTTCATTTTAGTTTTGTAATTTACTTAGTTTAGTTAGTTACTTAGTTATTTACATTTTTTTGTTATATTAGTTATTTAGTTTATATCAAATTGTGTACTGAACAGAAAACTACCTTTTCTATTCATTTCATGAAAAAGAGTAAAAACATTCACTACTTTTTGAGTCAGTCTGTTACTGCTATCAGGAGCAGCTATTGAAACGGGTGTGTATTGACTCAAGGCAGCTCATTTAGTACTCAACAAAATATCTCAAGCTTAGTTAGCAGATATCTGTCCTCTAATAATCAATCAGTGACTTCTAACCCTTTTCTTTTCATCATCAGTCACCTGCTCAGGTCATATCTGCATTACAAACACAGGTCCTTTGTTTGTTTTCTGATCACATTCGAACAAAAATCCCTCGCACAAAGACTCCCTGTCTCTTGCCCACCATTTTACATTCATAACAGTTTCTCCATATGCTGCAAAAAGCCCCATCCCCCATCAGAACAAGTTATTCCAGACCATTTTCAAGGCTGTTGATAATTCAAAAGAACGCTGGATAAACAACTTTTATTTAGTCTTGAAGAACCAAGTAAGAGACTTGTTGCCCAGGTAAAGCATGATTATCCATAGTCAAAACAACAGGGCAGTACATGGGTGAAAGAACAGGGTTAGAAATGTTAGTCAAACTGCTCATGCCTTGGCGGTTGTAGGAAGGTGTTGAGGCTGTGGGTTCAAATAAACTCCCGTGCTATTTCTGCTATAGTTGTTTACTGTGTATAGCTGCCTGTTTATTTGACCCTTTGCCAAGCATCCTGCCTGCTTTAGGAGGGGGACATGATGGTGGCCACGATATCTCTCAACGACATTTCCTGTTTTACTTCCCAGAGTGCCATAACTGTTTTCCTAGAAGTCAGAGTCCCAATTAGTCCTTAGAGTTTTACATGTGAGCATGTGACTGCTGACTACCCTGCTAAAAAATCCCAGTTTAGACCGGCATTACTTTCCACGCTGGTCCACACTGGTTAGTGCTGGTTTGGTGATTAGATTGCTCAATTTGGGTTCATTCTGTCTAACGCTTTCCAATCCTCCAGGTAACAGTACGGGGCAGAACATATCTGAGAATGAAAATGGTACAACAACAAGCCCAAGAAATGAGGAGGAGGAAAATCTTAATATGAATGGCTGGACCATCTGTAAAGAGCAAGATGAGATGCTGAACCTGGCCTTCACCATCGGCTCCTTCCTCCTCAGCGCCATCACACTGCCCCTCGGCATCATCATGGACAAATACGGCCCACGCAAATTAAGGCTGCTCGGCAGGTATAGGAGGAAAACTGGTTTCTTAATGCATAAAATAAAAATGTACTCTATTTATACGGTAAAAATATTATTAATATTATATTATACTATTATTATTAACATTATAAATTTGTGTAAAATATTGTTAAATTATTACATATGATATTGTTTTATTTGGATATTTATTTGGATTTTGAATAGTGCTGTCAAATCGATTAATCGCGATTAATCGCATCTAACATAAAGGTTTATACATACATATACGTATATACATACAGTATATATATTATACATTATAAACATATTATATCTTTACAAACTTTTGTTAATGCGATTAGTCGCAATTAATCGACGAATATTGAACAAATATTTTATATATATATGATTTTTTGTTATTTTTTTATATATTATATTTTATTATGTTATAACGTTTCATTGGCTCTCAGTTTGAAAACCTCTTTGCTAAAATATATGCATTGGATGTGGGATACATGATGTGTCAAAAGAATAATATGAAATGATCTCTTCGTAGTGCATCGTTTGCCCTGTCCTGCATCCTAATTGCATATGGAGCCAGTGACCCTAGAAGTATGTTTGCAAATCCAGCTGAGACCACCGTTGCTGTTAATACCCACCTACCCCTGCTCTCTTTGACATCCTTGTATTTTTCTTTTACAGATCTCTCTCTCCTAATCTTCTTCGCCCTTGCGCTGAATGGGTTTGGAGGCATGTGCATGACCTTCACCTCACTCACAGTAAGTGCTCATGTCGTACTAGTGGGTTTCCAAGGGTGTCCTCTCCGGCGCAATCTCACATGCTGGCCACATGCCACTAAAACTCAATGTAACTGAATAATGCAGGTGTTTTCTGTTTCCAAAAATTGCCGCATCATCATTTATTCATCCTCAAAGAGAATTGTTTTAGCTGGATTTCCAGCAGAATCATAGAAATTGGCATATGCTGACATAGGATGTGAATTGAATTTATTTCAACAACAAAAAAAGACAAAATAGCTCTTCCATATCTTTATATTGCAGAAACAGTAAGAGGAGAGTAAGAATAGTAAGAATAGTGAGTAGTATACTAGTGTGTTATTCCAATTTTAACCAGCGTCTTGTTTCATTTCTGAATGAATCAGTAGACTAAATGATTCAATGACTCTATCTTAGCATACTAGCAGCATACTATTCTTACTATTTCTGTCATAGTATGTGGGAGAAATAATAAGAGTAGTATGGTACTATGCGATTTCAAATTCAGCTAGTAACTTTCTGAATGAATCAGTGTTTTGAAAGAATCAGTTGATTTAATGATGTGATAACTCACTTATAAAGATGGTCACTTTTTGTCACCATTTACTGGTGTAACAATGTAACTCACAGAAACAGTGTCTGAATAATGTCCACCGCTAATACAGAATAGACAGTCTGTCTGGAACGTGCAAACAGAGACAAGTTGCTGCCTATAGTCACTTATGCTGTTCTAGGCAGAAGACATCAAAACAGCAGCTCAGAGCTATTGTGTCTTGCCACACACTGTTACAGTTTCAGCGATAAAGACAACAAAACATCTAGCTTTGTGTTTAGTGTGAGATCTGCAGTTCATTGGGTTCATATTGAGAAACATTACCAATAAGGAGAGCAGACTGTTGAAGCAAACAGGAAGTTGCGCTCATTGCGAGCTGGCGGGTGGTTGTCTCTTGTTCCTGCATGCTGCTCTGAGTTCATAGAAAACTTTGAGTTCATAGCTGATGGGACAGCCGTTCCTGCAACCAGTTCATTTGCTTGTGTTGTTGATTTTCTATTCCCGGTTCTTGTGCTACCATACATGCCTCAGCCTGTCTGGGCAACCCTCCAACTGTTACATACACACAGAGAAAAACACACACAGAAAGAGTGAGTGAACTGTGTAGCGGAACAGTACAGACTGTTATCTCAGCTGTTGTGTTCTTAGAACCTTTTCCCAGCTGTTCTGTATAACTATGTGTTTTACCCTGCTGGTTGTTGTGTCGGGAGGCTGAACCTGAGGTTCACTGTGCAGTTACTGTCTGACATCTGTTGTTTGGGTGCATCTCTCAATAGCTTCATTACTGTTACTGTTATCAGACTTATTAAAGGTGTCATATGTAATATTGACAGCTTCCATGGCTGCAATACGCTGTATTTTCTGCCAACTGGCAAATTAAACACAAATTAAACTGTGGAGCTTTTTGAGTTGATGTGTGTTGCTATTTTTCTTAGCATTTCTTTCCCAGCAATGCCCTGCAACCAACCAGAACAATGGTTGCCCGTTGACGGCAACATTGCCCAGCAACATTGCTCAAAAAGTTGCCCTGTGTATCATCACCTTAAGAACCACGTAGCAATCTACCAGTAACCACCGGGCAACCACATAGCATTACCATAGCAACCCCCTGGTAATCACTCAAAACACCCTAGCAACCACATAGTATTTCCCTAGCAACCATCTAGCAATGGCCTAACAACCACTTAGCAATTCCCTAGCAATCACCTAGAAAACCCTGGCAACCAATTAGGAAGGTCCTAAAGGCCCTGATATATTTACAGCATAGTTCTTTTTTGTTCTTCATTTTGGGGTAAAACGTAGTTCGAAATAAGTAAGTAACGATACACTGTTATCGAACATCTGACGCCGCCCACTCTGCTGAGAGCGACGGTTAGATGAATATGTTAATATGTGCTGCGCGCTTTCCTGTTAATAACAAAATAAACACACAACAAATTTGAGAAAACAGCAAGCATTTTTAATAAAGCATAAGAAAAGCATCTGATCATAGCAATGTGGATATGTTTGCACAAGCTCTGCAATTCAGCACTCTAGTAAAGTCACGTCACATTTGTATATATATACACAGCACTTTATACAATAGATTGCTTAAAATCAAATAGCTTTACAGCATTAAACATGAAAAATAGTATCAGTGTCTCGTTTCATCAGAAGTACAATAAAAGTCATTTCCTTCAGCATTTTTCCTATAAAGCATTTCCTCCAGTGTGTTCATATTTTCACTCGCCGGTCACGTCTAATCTCAACTGACTCATGAGGAGAAATGAACTGGAAAAAAAAGATTTCCATGTGAAAGAAGGCAGAGCCTCAGCGCACACCAACCTATTACTTAATCGCCACGGACCAATGGGAGTACAAAGGTGTTGACCAGCCGAAGCAAACTTTTCCAGACAGTTCGCTTTGACAAGCTGTTTCAAACTCCAAAAATGAACTCCAAATGAACTTCGTTTTGGCCTGATTTTGTTCTAAATTAAGTCACATCAGTTCATTCTACGATTTCGCTTGAAGTATATCGGGGCCTTAACAACCACTTCAAACACCTTAGTAACCACATCATTACTCTGGAACCACCCAGAACACCCTAGCAACTATATAGCAATGCCCTGGCAACCACCTAGCAACATAGCAGTCACTTATAGCAACACCCTACCAATCACCTGTCCTAGACAAACCTCTAGCGACGTCTAGCACTTAATACTCTAGCGACCACCCGAAACATCCTAGCAACCACATACATTTCCCTGACAACCATAGCATTGTAGTGAGTTTTGCACAGGTAAGCGCAGCTCACATTTATTTCAGCAAATGTAAAAATGTTGTCTAGAAACTTTTCTGAAAATTGTATTCTATGAATAACCAAGTCTCACATTCTGAAGACGAACCCTAAGAGGTTAGGTGAAGCTGGCGATCAACCCTCCTTTTCTTTCTTTTCCACGCTTTTCTATCTCTCTATCTGTCACTCTGTGTCTGCGCACTCAGCAGTTTATAGTGCAGCTGCAGTAAGAGTGCCTGAGAGCTTGTGTTTCCTCCCAGCACACCTCTGATGTTTTCCCAGTACACTGACTCAGCTCTTTGTGTCTAATGGCTGGACTGTCCCCTCCCAGCCACCTGATTCACTGTCTGACCTCAATCCTTCATCTGCCCATTTCTGCAGCTCTTATCCTCTCCCGTTTTAGCTCTGTCTGTCTGTCTGTCTCTGTCTGTCATCCCACTTGCTTTGTAGCAAGCAACCATCTTTTGCAACACAACCTCACTGGAGTTAGAATAATAAATAAATAAATACAACTTAAAATAAATAGTGAGAAACTATTGCATGAGCACAAGAATTGTTTTGCATGCACACGAGAAAATATTGCATGCGCACAAGAAAATGTTCACGTTCACGCAAGGGATTTTTTTTGTATTTATATTTTCAAATATATCTTTATTAATTCATGTGCATCCATACTTTATAGTAAAATGGCAGTGACGCACAAAGGAAATAGATTATAGTAGTAGTAGGATATACACAAACCAGAAATCGTCATTCGTGAGCAAGCAAAAAAATTCCTGTGCACACGCGAAAGTTTAACGCCAGTATATACAGTATATATTTTTTTGTAAATGTCCCTTTAGGGGCTCCGTAATATCCTCTATACCATAAAATTTCATTGGGGATATACTGTTCCTCTTTATTCCAGCTCTATCAGTCTCTGATGCACTAATGCTGTTTTTTTCTTCTTCATTTGTGCCTTCAATGCATTTATAACCCACTTCTTTAGGATGCTGAGTCATGTGAGGAAGCAAATAGGAAAAATGGCTTATAATGGTGGAATAGGAGCATTTAGGCTCCAGAAAACAGATTAAAAACACTCAGTAAGTGGGCATGCCAATCGATATTTTGCTGTGTTGGTCCAATGGACACTTCAAAATGAGGTGTGAAAGTTTTTGTTATATGATTTGTCATCTAAATATGTCCCAGCACCCTCAGTACTGGGTTGCATCAGGAAGGGCATCCGGTGTAAAACCTGTGCCAAACCCAATGTGTGTGTGCGCGAATAATTTCGATGAAGGCAGACCCTGCAATTGAGCGAGACATACACTTGAAAAATGATGAAAAATGAGTCATATAAATGCACCAGGGCCACACGGTCAGTTAAATGTGGAACAAATAATGATCAAGTGCATGTTATACATGACCCTCTGGAAGCCACCTTTGAACTTTGCAAAGTCAGGATCTGGCCAGCCTTTACTAGCTTTCACCAACTCACCTTTACAAGTTTTTCTTTTACTTCTCTGTTCTATATTAATTTTACCCTCACTCATTGTCGTTCTCTTGTGGTGGCAAGTATGATTTATCCACTTCAGGTCCCTCCCCCCAACCCATTTACAGTATGACTCATCATCCTCTCAGAGAGTGGTGGAAAAAGGATTTGACAGATTTCTGTGGTCATATGTTGCTCAAATGGGGATGGGAAACCAAATTCATAATGACGATCGGTGTGATTTCTCATGAAACATTCATTGATTTGTTTTTCTAACACACCCACACATTAATCTATTTTGACAGGTGCTTTTGGGAGAGTGGGACACAGTTACTCAACTCAGGCACTTCAAAATGTACTTTTTATTTCAACAAATCAATCAAGTACCACACTCACTGACTTTAGTGCACATCGATCCTAAATTTAAACCAGCTTCTGGGAAGCTCAAGGCTAAAAATAGCACTCAGTTTAAACAATTTATAGTACAGACTTAAAAAAAACTCCATGCCCACAGTTGAAACTCCCAGTGATCAAATTAACGAAATTGTACTCTTTTTTTAAAATATACACTGCTATTCAAAGGAATTATTGGTATGAGTTTTTAATGCTTTTGTAAGAAGTCTCTTATGCTCACCAAGGCTGCTTGTATTTGATCAAAAGATTTTGTGAAATATTACTATTTAAAATAACTTTTTTACTATTTTCTATTTCAGTATACTTGAAAATGTAATTTATTTCTGATGACAAAGCTGAATTTTCAGCATCATTACTCCAGTCTTCATTGTCACATGATCCTTCAGAAATCATTTTAATACGCTGATTTGATGCTCAGGAAATATTTCTTATTATTATCAGTTGAAAAAGCAGTGGCTGCTTAATATTTTTGTGGAAAGCATGATACATTTTGGGATGAACAAATCTATTATTTGATGAATAGAAAGACCGGTATTGATTTGAAATAAAAAAAAATTGTAGCATTAAACGTCTTTAAAATCACTTTTTCTGACTGACCTTAAACTTTTGAACGGTGATGTATCTTATGTACCTGCCTCACAAGTGCCATCAGATTAGTATCAGATGTAATATTTAATATTTATGAGATAATAATTTTAATATTATTTTCAAAATAATGTTATTTCAGATAACCATTATTGTAAATCTTTTGGTTGTTTTACACTACAGTGTTTTCTCAGTTCCAGTGGCCATGACTTCGGGACTGTTTGGTCTCAGTGGATTCCTTTGGTCTTATTGACTCATATTTAATCTAGACATTATCACTTTACTTGTAGACTATCAGTGTTTGTCAAACGTTTTGTTTTACTCCTTAGCCAATTTCATTGCAGCACAAGCTAGACAGAGCGACACTCGCATAATAATACAAGAGGATTTTGATAAAAGGGACTTTGTTGCAGTGTCTCTTTGTATTTGACATCACATGACCAGCTGTAGTGACCGTCTGAGAAAGCAGAAGAACAGTGTTACTGAAACAGTCTCTTGGTACTTCACATGTAACTCAACTCCATTGAAAGGCCATTACTCTCTGTCCTGTCGGCCCTGTTCCACAGTCCATTAGCCAAAGCTGTTCTTACACAGTCTCTCCAAACACAGGCACAATGCCGCCTATAGGGCGCTGGGTGTGTGAGAGTTATTGTAAGTGTCATCTGGGACGTTTTGGCTCTGGGATGACCTTTACTCTAATTAGAGGCGGTGAGTGACGTCTATGATGGGTTCCAAGGGAGAGCTTTCCTTCATTTTTGTCTTCAACAAGCTTTTGAACTGGGAAGTGGATGATGTCCAGAGAGTTCTTGGAAAATCTGTGTTGATGTTTGAACTGCGAGTTGTGGAGGAAATGTGATATAAGACACTGCCAGCTTTCGACAGGTGTGAAATAGATGTTGTTTTTTTTATTCAGAGAAATGGAAAATACCTAGAAATTAGAAAATAAGAAACATGTACCAGAACATTTTGATACCCTGCAACTGCACTAAAATATTAAGAAATAAAATAAAATGGTGTGACATACAATACTCCATTAATAACTATTTTAAACAGCATTTTGCAAATTATTTTAGATTTATCATACATCCAAGTTGACCACAGTGAGAGACTACATGGAACATTTTTTAATAATCTTTTTTTAAAATGTAACAAAACAAAAGGATTAAAATTAAATAAATAGAAATATATATATATTATATATAATTGTATATATTTTATAATTATATTGTTTTTTAATCATTCATTTTATTTGTCTTATTTTGAGTGTGTACAGGAAACTTCTGTCACCAAGACAAATTCATTGTGTGTGTAAGCACACTAACAATAAACCTCATTCTCGTACATTAATTATAAAAATATTCTCTTAAAGAATACTATCGTAAATGACGACACTCTTGCTCTCTCTGCCTTTTTTCCTTCTCAGATTCTCTGTGGTTCTCTATCTTAGGCGTTCATGCTCTCTTCCTTCCTCTGTATTTTCTCTGTCGTTTGACAGTTGTTTACCCTGACAGTGGAGTTTAGAACAGCCAGTGCTGTACTCCTCCACCCAGCTCAAAAGCAACAGCATTACGCAAGCTTCTCCAGTGTCCATCACACTTTCTCTCGCTGCTAAAAATATTCACGGCATGCAGTTGCCTTTTCAAACGATGTTCCCCCACCTACATGTTGCTCCCACCGGAGAATATCACTGTTACCCTGATGTAATGTTTACTTACCCTCTGCTATATCTGACGTTTTGTCATTTAAAACAGATCCTGTTACAAGATATCTGTTTTTGTTTTGCTTATGGCTCAAACATTATGTCCACAAAGTGAAAGCAAATATATTTACTTTTCATACCAGTACTGCCTCTAAAACGTATTTTTTTTATGCACCTGAAGAGATTTTGATATCCCCTGTTTGACTCTTCTGTAGCTTCCCAACATGTTTGGTGATCTCCGCTCCACTTTCATCGCATTCATGATTGGCTCATACGCCTCATCCGCCGTCACCTTCCCAGGAATAAAGGTAAATCTGAGTGCTCAGTTTGGACTTATTTAATAAGCTGAGCTTAAATCAGTGTTAATGATGATGATTGTTGCTCTCTATCAGGTGATCTATGACTTCGGTGTTGCCTTCATCACCATCCTTCTGGTGTGGGCTGGCTGTGCCGGCCTGGTCTTCATCAACTGCTTCTTCAACTGGCCACTCGAGCCCTTCCCAGGACCTGAAGACATGGATTACAGGTATGTAGTCCAGTGTGTCTGTACAGTACCGTTTAAAAGTTTGCGGTCGGTATGATTTTTTAAAAGGAATTAGTTACGAAACATTTATATTTCAAATAAATGATGTTCTTTTGAACTTTCTATTCATTAAAGAATCCTGCTAAATCTATCACTGTTGTTTTTACAAAAATATGAAGCAGAACAACTTGGATCACATTCAACATTGATAATAATAAGAAATGTTTCTTGAGCATATTAGAATGATGTCTGAAGGATCATGTGACACTGAAGACTGGAGGAATGATGCTGAAAATTCAGCTTTGACATCATACGAATAAATAACACATATTATATTCAATTATATTAATTAATATAATGTAAAATGCAAAATTATATTAAAATATATTAAAATAGAAAATCTTACAGACCCCAAACCATGATTTTGTTTTCTGTATCCATTTATTGAAGGTTCTGATGGAACATAATTCACTTATTGTCTGTCTCACGCTTCACCTTGTCAGTGTGAAGATCAAGTTCAGCTGGCTGGGCTTTGACCACAAGATCACAGGGAAACAGTTCTACAGGCAGGTGACCACCGTTGGTCGGAGATTGAGTGTGGGCAACTCCATGAAGAACAATCCAAAACAGCTGGCCACCCAAGAAGGCAATAAACTCTGCCTGTCCACGCTCGATCTGGAGGTCCAGTGCAAGTCTGAGGAGGAATGTGAGTATCGTCCTTTTTGATATGTTTTCAGTTCACCAGTCTTGCTTCTCATCGTCTGAAAAATGTAAAACCACACCAAAAATCTGGGATTTTTTCTTTTATTTGTTTATTTATTTATTTTATTTTAGGATCTTGAAACATAAAACAAAGAAAAACGATGTCATAAAATAAGTAAGAGATATTGAAAATTCGCTGTTGCAACATTGTACTCCTTTGTTAGGTAAGATGTTCTTAAATTAATTTACATTTAAAGGAGCATTGCGGAAGTTCCGAAATTTCTAACCGTTACTGACACCAGTGGCCGTTAGAGAAACTGCAGCCCGTCTCATGCTCGTTCTCGGTGCACACGCTGGCACGCTCGTTGGCCGCACTAGATAAGGCTTTTTTTTTTTAACTTACGAGGAGTTTCCGTGGGTATTTGGATTGTGCTGGAGGCTGGTCGCTTCTTTCCGTCCGCAGAGTCCATTTGAAACACTACTGCTAGCGATTGCCGCTGCTTACTAATGGCTACCGTACGGATGTAAGCCCAAGTAGACGAGAACGCGCATGACGTCACATTTTGTGAATTTTCACGCCAATTCGGACCCGACTCCTCCACACACAATTGAGCCTACAGGCTGATAGAGGCAACCGTGGTGGACAGTCAAGGGGCCCTATCTTGCACTCGGCGCAAATGACTTTGTACACTGACGCATGTATCATTCCTATTTTGCACCCGCGCAAAGCGGACTTTTCCCTCCACAGACACACGTCGGTTAACTAAGAAATACACTTGCGCTCCCCGGGGCGGTTCAGCGCAAAGAGGAGGCGTGTTCCGGCGCAAACTTTCCCTCATGCTATTTTGCTGTTCTATAAAACAATTGCGCCACTGACCAGAAAAAAACTAGTCTAAAGTCAGTGGCGCGTTGCGCGTTGTTCATTATGCTATTTTAAGGGCGCATGCTTGGCCATAATCAATGTAGCGTGTGCACAACGCGCATACACGTTGATTCTCTCATCTAAGCAGCAGTTTTCATTTTTGCAAATCATACATTATTACGATAGATAGATAGATAGATAGATAGATAGATAGATAGATAGATAGATAGATAGATAGATAGATAGATAGATAGATAGATAGATAGATAGATAGATAGATAGATAGATAGATAGATAGACAATTTATTATAAAAGCATGTAGCTTACACATTTACCCAAATTATCATACGCCTGTTTAACAGAAGTTAATTTGGGTGGGTTTCTCCATCCCCAATGTCACTTCTCTGTGTTTTACGGGCCTGACAAGAACGTTGCTCTCCTCGGCTGTGAACCGCTCCTGGCGCGCTTGGCAAATCCGCCGTTATAATAGGAATCCGCTTTAGAACAAGCGCGCCTGCTCTTAAAGGGAATGTGAGATGACGCTCTGATTGGTTTATTTCACGTTACGCCCAAACCACACCTATGAATAATGAAGCTACTTCAGACCAACCCCTTTTAGATTTGCGCCAGGCGCAAGAGTCATTTATCCCGCCGGGAAAATAGCAACAGCGCCGGGATCCGCCCACAAAGTTACTTGCGCTTTACGCTTTGACACTTGCGTTTCAGATCGTTAAAATAGGGCCCAAGGTGTCATTCTTTCTATTACATTATGGTTGGCTCATAAATGTACAAATGAAGACTCTATCTTAAAGATTTTTTAAGTAAAAACCTACACATAGCCCCTTTAAATTACATTAAAAATGAGTTATAATATTGATAACATAAAATGTATGTTGTTTTACTGCTTTAATAATTTAAAGGGGTCATGAACTGCATTTTTGTATTATTTTATAATATTTCCCGAGGTGCACGAAATTTCGACTGATTTACCAAAGAATCCACAGTGAAATGTACCGAACAAACAAATAATGCTCTACTGAAACATTCACATAGTTGAAAATAAATAACCACTTTCCTAGCATTAGAATCCTTTGGAAGGTATTGATATTTTTAGTCCGGTCATCCTGTATCTCTCTTCTCTCCTCGTCATCTCACTAACACGCTAGTGGGCGCGGCCAAAGGTGCGATGATGTAGAAGTAGGCGTTGATCTTCTTCTGTAGAGGCGGTATTTCATCGCACTATTACATCTTAATGTGACAAAACTCAAAATAAGTCATTTTCTGAGCTTGGTTTCAATTAAAGCTGCTTTTGGACTAATGAAAAAGTTTGGAGTTCTGAAAATTAAAGGAGTTTTTATTATACAATGACCTCTTACATGTCAAAAGATCAATGAAATTTAGATTTCTCAATTCATGACCCCTTTAATGCATTTTTTAAAAATATTTTGTCAATTTTTTTAATACATTTCCATTAGTGATCTCAGATATTTGTACTCCACTGTATGTGTCGTTCAGGTTCCATTTTAATGACGTGAGTGCCAAATAATTTAAAGTTATGCAAGTTAATTATGAAGGCAGAATAGTGTTTATTGGATTACTGTTTTAATGTGTTGAACAAAGTCCTTGTTCATCAAATTATGTAATCGTGCAATCATGCATATTTCAGAAAGAATTGGACAGAACAAAGTGCCTTGGCTCCCGCCGGTGTACAGCGCCTTCCCCCTCACTGCGCACCCCTTGGCATACAGACATGCAGGGAATATGCGAGCAGACAGGGGGCGATGTTAATGAACGCTTTTTAGTAAATCCCTTTTATTGTGCATGGGGATTCCTTCATTAGCCCTATGCCTGGTTTCTAACATCTGGAGGTTGCCGAACCACTCGATGCTCCAGGCACACGCTGTGTTTGCACTTTGCTTCTACTAACCCAAATCTGTGCCATGCAATTATTCCTAATTCACCTCAAACTTGTCAGAATAATGCAAAAGGGCCCTTGCTCCCTTTTTTAGGGCTCTGCAACTCTCGACGGGGTTCCCGGTTGGGCTCTTTTGTAGTAAATGGAGCGTGCAATCGATGCAGACTGCGTTCCTGGAGGACCCATGGCATGGGGCTAAAATTGGCAGGGGTTGACAAGGTGGCAAGGGAGAGGGCAGATAGCACCGAATGGCTGTTTTAGAGACGCAGCAGGAGAGGTTTGAGAGAGAGACTGATGCTGATCCCTTCTAACTGTCATCCAGAGAGCGCTAATGCCTTCACCACCCTGTGTTTCCATTACTGCAGTCAATTACTGTCAGACTCACTGCTGGCGGCTTGAAAGTGTGTGAGTGTTTGTGTACTCAGAGGAATAATGAGGTAGCTTGTTTGTGTGTGTGTGTGTGTTCCGGAGCATATCAGGTGAGTTGAGATTAGATTCCCAATGCACCAGGTAACAGCACCATAAAGGTCTCTCCATTGCTAGTCGGTGAACAGCAGCATGCATTTATTGCGCTAGAATTTGTGGATCATTAACAAACCCAGACCCTCCAGCCTCTGTGTTACTGTGCCAGACATTGAAGTGTTGCCTGCAGGGCCGTATTAAGACAGTGTGGTGCCCCTGGGCACTATACCTCAAAAGGCCCCCTATATTCAAATGTGTCAATTAAAAATGTACATAAATTAATTGACAGCGTTAATTCACGTTTGCCCAAAAATAATAATAAATCTATCAGGTTTCTTACCTATACAGGCATGAAAAGGGGTTAGGGGTGAAAAAGGTGAGAAGGATATTACCCCTCTAGGGGGGTCCGGGGGCATGACCCCCCGGAAGAAATTTTTTAAATATTCCATATTTTATAGCATCAATCTGATGCATTTTGAGATGCATTTTTTTTGCCAACCTGGGGAGAGTTGGAGAAACTTAACTTCAGCCATGAGTCAAAAATATTATGGCCTCCGTAGCGTTAGCTAATAATTTCCCACCAGAGCTTTAGCTAGCTGGCTAATGTTGCGTTCTCTCCTGATGTGTTCAACTCAATTCATCAAGCTGTAACTAACGTTAGCAAAGCCTATGTCAACAGAGCTCCTGGGTAACTTAGATATAGCCTACCAGAAAATATTAGGGATGTCCCGATACCATTTCTTCTGAACCGATCCAATCCGATACCAAAAAGTCTGAGTATTGAATTATACCGATCCGATACCAGCGCAGTTAAAAAATAAAAATAAAAATCAAGTAGAATTTCTATAACTCTGTGTGTTGAACTGATAATCACTATTTTCTGTTAAACACAATCTACTTAATACAGACAACTTCATTATAAAGAAAAACAACAAATAAAAAAAAATATGATCATAACCTATGACAAAAATTCTATTATATAAACTAGATTAGTGGGTAACTCAGCAGTAAAATTTAGTCTAGAAAAATCACAAGTGCACAATAATTGTATAAAATCGAACATTTAGTGGAAAAAAAAAACATTATTTAGTGAGGAACAAATAAGAGACAATAAGTGTAGCACTAAATCTGGTAAAACGTTTTCATGTATTAAGTTTAGCAGAACTGCTCCTTCCTTGATTTTGCGCAAGCAAAGGTGTCAACTACATCCCCAAAGTCCATTTCTTTGTTACCGTCTCCACAGTTAGCTCCGGCTTCGTCAGACTCAGCGCTGCTAGTGATCGCAATTCCCGTGATGTTCTCACAAAAAATCTTTCGATACCTGGAACATTGTGAATTGTAGCTACGTCTAGCGTCCTTGTCTTTCTTTAACTTTCTTTTTGCAAAACCACTCAATTGACGTCTGTCCAGTTTTGATTTTAATTCATTTTTTTGTAGCCGTTAAAAAAATGACACATTTGCACGTATTTGTTGTGGACCAACGCAACTCTGACAGATTGGGGAGGGGGGAGTGATAGTGGTCATGTAATCTTTATTTATTTATAATTTATTATTAAATCATTATTGTTATTATTATTGTTAAATTGGTGTTCATAAACGATTTATTTATGGTCTGTCAAGAATTTCAAGTTAATAATATAACAATTTACGAAAAATATTTTTAATGCTTGACTCATGTGGTGCCCCCCTAGTGGTTGTGAATGGTTGGTGCCCCTGGGCACTGGCCCAAGTGCCCTTATGGATAATCCGGCTCTGGTTGCCTGGCTATCCAAGCACCTGTAGAGTTATTTTCCATGAGAACAGGATCTGGCTGTTTTTTAAAGGCATTAGAGCATCCTACTTAAATTGTGGTGACTTGGGTGCCGTTTACACAACACCGTTTTCAACTAAAAATGGAAAACTTTTAATGCGTTTTGGTTCATTAACACAACAACGTTTTGGGGGCCTGAAAACGCAAACTTTTGAAAACGGGTTTCAAAGTGCAAGTTTTTGCACTATACTGTTATCGTTTCTGTGTAAACTACATTAACGTGCCACCTACTGGCCTGGCATGCATAATACAGTGTTTTGAGTCGTTTTGACGGATCCATGTGAACTGGGATAATTTTGACAGTTGTCGTCTGTATGCGAAAAACGCAAAGGAAAAACTTTTCTGTTTTTAGTACATTGTGTAAACGCACCCTAAGAAACCAATTAAGTTAGCTGTTTTAATAATAATACTTTTAATAATAAAAATGATTATTGTTGATAATAGTTTTATTAAATGTGTTTTTCAGCCCAGTCCTTCATGCGGAGCATCTTCAGCCCCATATTCATGCTCAGCCTCATCACAATGTGTGTGACTCAGCTCCGACTCATCTTTTACATGGGGGCCATGAACAATATTATGGAGTCCCTTGCTGATGGAGACCTGAACAAAGGTATGTTAATATTTACAACATGCTGCCAAAACAAGTTGTATGATGCTTCAGGCTAATAGCGTTTCTGTTGATCCAACGCTAAATGTCACCTATAAGGAACAGAACGCAACAGTCAGTTTAATTTTCTCCAAAGAGAAATAGATTTTTATGATAACATAGAAGTCGCTGCAGCCAAAGTGCTCAACTTAGATATATATTAATATATAAATGATAAATATATAACATTATTATATTATCTAAATATTTGTGCAGTAGATTTAATATATATGTTTTTACCAATTATTTTTTATATATTTATTATATAATATTAAAATAATTATAATTATTTAAAATAATAAAATAAATCATTTAAATTATTTTTAAATAAATGCATGCATATGTACTTGCTACTTGCATATTCTGATATTTAAAAATATCAGAATATATATATATATATATACACACACAATTTACAATACTTACAATTATTGGCTGTTAGTGACCAGATTGACCAGATTTTTCATATACTCATATATCTTGTGCTTCAAATCAAGTCTTGTAGTTTTATGGTTTGGTTCATTCCTTAGAGCTTTTTAATTAAGATTTAATTGAAATGCTTATGGATAAAATTAATGGGAGAAATATTTCTGTATTATCAAGGCTGCTGAAAAAGCACTGTTGTGCTCTGTTCCTCTCACAGCTTCCTTCCTAAATGTTTTCTGATGTCACTCAGTGATTGGCTGCCTAACAACTCTTAATCATGCTTTTAATATGTACTCGGATGGCCACAGCAGGTCCACGTTGCTAATTCCTTGCTGTCTGTCTCTTGTCCTCTGTTTGCACTCTCTTCGTGCTGCTTGGTGTGTTTTTTCAGTGGAAAGGATGGAAATGGGTAAGACTGCAGGCAAAATGAGATGCATTCTCGATTCACCCCTCTCACCCCACCTCCCACCATGTTCCTCCCTCCTTCCTCCCTCACCTCCTTTTCCACCTTCATTTGACATTGATTCATGTTGTCATGTAAAAGCATGAACCCAGCCCTTGGTGGTTAGAGATTGACGTGATGCATCAAAGTCAGTTTATAGTATAATATTCATCCAATCATTCATCTGTCCACCTAAACTTCACAGGAACAAGTCATGGGTCATTCTATGAAATGGGTGTCTTTTCCAATTTTATAGGCTATAAATTTCTAATTTTATACATTCTGTGAGACGAATCATTTTTAAGTGTTAATACATTGCATTGTTCCATCTAAATTAATACATTTTAATATTAGTATATTTTTATATTTTCGTATATTGTAATATATAAATACATTAATATATTGTCAGTCTATTTTGATATTAGGTATTGATTTATTTATTTAATAAAAAAATCTAAATGGTGGAGACATGCCAAAAAAGGCATCCTCATGACAAAAGACAGAAAAAAAACAAAGAACTAAAATAAAGTTACTTGATTTAGCAGATACACTACCGTTCAAAAGTTTAAAGTCTCTATGCTCACCAAGACTGCATTTATTTGAGCCAAAAAACTGTTTTTACAGTAATATTGTGGAATATTACAATTTTAATTTAAACTGTTTTATATTATACATTATGTGTCCTTGCTGAATAAAAGTATTACTAAAAAAAATGCTACTGATCTCACACTTTTGAATGGTAGTGTATGTTTATGTATGTCATCAGCTTCATTGTTAAAGCTATTTTCACATATATTCTGTTTGCCAGAATGACCCTTAAAACAATGATAAAACTCAACTTTCTTTCTCTCTCAGTGAGCACATACACATCTATCTTCGGTGTGCTACAGTTGCTGTGTCTCCTGACGGCCCCTGTGATCGGTTACATCATGGATTGGAAACTCAAAGAATGTGAGGATGAAAATGAGAAACAAGTCACAAAGTGAGTGCAGCAATGCGCGTCCAGCTGCCTTAATGCATCATTTTGACACGTACCGCCAATTATTATCTGATTACAAGCTTAATGTTGCATTGCATCTGCGTAATTCACTCTTGGCTTTTCCTTCAGGGATCCTACTCAGCCAAAGAAACGTGACAGACAGATCCAGAAGATCAGCAACGCTACCCGTGCATTCGTCTTCACTAATTTGCTGCTGGTCGGCTTTGGGATGACCTGCCTGGTGCCCAATCTTAATCTACAGGTAACAGAGCAAAACATCAGTCTCGCTGCCTGCAGAACAATATTGTACCCAATGGGAGAGGAAGTGGTGCAGAGCGCCTCACGTTACTGCAGCGGATGCATTGGGATGTATAGCACAACAGCACACCCCAGTGGCACCACTGACTGTGGCTTTCTTTCTAAGCTAGCTAGTCAATATTTATGCATTAGACAAAGTTAAAAAAAAAGTAGGGCTATTTTTGCCTTGGGGGAGCAATGAGTAACTCTGGTTTCTTGTTTCCCTCCTAGATTTTGTCCTTTGTGTTGCACACCATCGTGAGAGGCTTTATCCACTCTGCCGTTGGCGGCTTGTATGCTGCTGTGTGAGTATGTTTTTGTGTTTTGGGTCTTTATTGGTGTTGTTTTTAATCATGATTAAAGAACAATGGTTTTATTTATGGGTGCAGGTACCCGTCCTCTCAGTTCGGCAGTCTGACTGGAATGCAGTCTCTCATTAGCGCACTTTTTGCATTGCTGCAACAGCCTCTCTTCATGGCTATGATGGGCCCACTGGATGGAGATCCACTTTGGGTGAGCAAGCAGTTACTAATTCATTCACCTTCATGTTGTTTCAACCCCGTATGACTTTCTTTATTCTGAGTAATAATTTCATGAAATTTGATAGGCAAAAAAGGTTCTGCCTATCATCAGCAGTGTAGCTATGTGCCAGGTCTGCACAACAAAACCTATTGCTAATCAAAACTAGCAATTCTGTGGGAAAACCACGGATTGACAACACTATCAAACCAAGCTGAACCCTGTTGTTCAACACAGTGAATTGACTTGACCAACTTGAACCCGTGGGGAAATCCTTCGCCCTCACACAAAATTCCCGACTGTGTGGAATTCTCTTGAAATTACTGGATTATGCCTGCGGAAAAAATGGCAGTCAGTGGGCATCAACAACCAAGTCCCCACCCTATTTTTCTTTTTCAATATTCTGTTTCACATAACAGACGTACGTTACAATATGGGAGAAAAGATTTGTCACTACTTCCGTTACGTTGTGACTTACAAAGTCTTAAACCCATTTTATCTCTCTGCTCCATACACAAACCACATTTTAGGTTGTTATTCAGCAAAAATGCCTTCAAATTGAATTTGTGCTTGCTCAAATTCAAGCTTTTGTCTGTCTGTGTAGGTAAACGTGGGGTTACTGGTCCTGACCATGCTGGGATTCTGCCTGCCCAGTTATCTTCTGTGCTACGGCAGGCAGCTGCGCAGAGAGAAGCAGGAGCGCGAGGAAGACCCCAAGATCTATGTCCAGATCAACAACAGCACCAACCCAGAGGCCTTTGTCTAACTGCAAACACACAGATGACAGCAGTCGGCAGGACGGTGGGAGGGGGAGAGAACTGCAGGTCACAAAAAGAGTGATAAAAACCTCCCTGATCCCTCCTTCTGTCTGACACACATACTCACTCACATATTCTCAACAAGCACACAAAATACAGCCAAAGCAACCGAGAGTCTCACAACGTGCCACACAAACACACGTTTACACGCAATGGACTGAATGGACACTGTGAAAGGCAGGTGTAGAAGCAAATGATGCCCTTGTCCTTGAAACAGACAAGGACATCAAGTCTTTATGTACTGCCTGACAAGAAAGATGAGAATGGCCCTCTTTTCTTGCAATTTTAGCTTGATTCTTGAATTTCACACCATGATGATACAAAAGACAAAGCAAATTCAGTTAAATTCTTTCAGGTTTGAGGAAGCCTTCCTGAACAGAGTATTACACACATCAATAGTATTCAGCTTCATGGCCAAGCTTGTTTCAGACACTTTCTGCATTGTTACCTCACTCATTTTGTTTCTTTCAGCTCATAAAGCTGCTGAAATGCGAGACAAGTACCCTCCATTGCGGTTTGAATATGAAAAACTGACTACTAACTACCTTAAAGCAGAACGATTCTGCGTGTTATCTGTCCCATATGGGTCTTTATTGGAAGTGGACAGATTTTACACTTAAATCTCATATATGAAAGCATGCTTTGGAAAGCATGAGCATGAAACTGCAGCTTTTTGTGAACTGGGCTGATTTTAAAGGACACCTGAGGCTAATGTAAACTAAACACGATTTTAGTATGACAGCTGTGCTATTATTTGCTTTGGGCTGCAGATCCAGTACATCTATGGGTGACATGATGCATACTGTACATATCAGTCCATTCAGAAGGTTGTAGAAGCTATGTGGATCTAAAAGGTTTCTGTTAAAGCGGTATTAGCCTGACATTTCGATCAAGAGTGACTGATCTTCACCAGCAATACTATTCCACACTGATCGTACCGTACCCTATACCACTTAACAAAACAGTACTACTGGTTTAGCTTTACTTATTAGCACAAAATGTTTTCTTTTCCTTGTATTGACTCAATTATTCAGGGTGTTTCACTTTTAGAGTAATAATTCATATCAGATGTCTTCACCTGCAAGCTTTGCTTTGTCACGTATGTGCGTTTAGGGGTACAAAAAAATGAGACACAGTGTACTCTCGGTTGAGAGACTAGAGGCCATTATAGGATATATCTTGCACTACAGGGTTCATAATTACAGAGGTGCTTATGTTAGCCATTACAGAGTATATGCTTTCTGTTTCAACCTCAAAGTACACAAAGACCATGTTAGCCATACAAGATACAAGATTTTTTGTGTATTTTCTCAAGATTTCTGGTCTGGTTACCATTTAACTATACGGTGCTTACTAGAATAGAAAAAGCAAGAAGGTTTCTGTGTTGGTCAAGATGAATGATGCAGAAACCAAATACACACCTTGTAGTGATAAGAACTTGAATATAAATCATAGCGATTAAAAAAGGGAGATTTTTGAGACATGCTTGATGACAATCGCTTTGGAAGATCCATATTCTTGTAGCTTGTAATGGTTTGCAGGTCAGTATTACGAATTACAAAACGTGGTAAATACATCAAATTAAGCAAAATCGGGTCTTTTAGCCAATAAGTCCTGTGACAGATGGATTTGGCTCAACTGTGCTCAGAAAACAGTGTGGAAATTGATGTAAAATCAGTCAAAAGGCTTTTAATCATGAATTCCAGTGTTGATGTAGATACTGTGTTTTGTGCAGATCACTGAACATTTCTCATCGAAAGATTGATTTGATTTGTTACGGTTTTGGTTAAGTCACAACCTCACTCACTTTAACAGTATTTTCTCTGTAAACCTACCTGAAAAGAAAAAAAAGATTTGTCTCTCCATAATTGAGAGACAAACACAATCATTTGTACAAGATCCTGGATGAGTAAATAGGACTTGTGCATGTTGTCTTCTCAACAGTGGTAATAAATGTGACCTTGTTTTATGACCCCTTTGAAGAGGAACAGGTCAGATCCACCCAGCAACATCCTTTTATTGTCTGTCACACTTGTTGTGAATATTTCATCAGAGCTGAGGCTAGACGTGAGTCTGTGATGGACTGCATTTGCTGGCTTGAACATGCCTGGATATTGCAAGTGAATTCCAATCTAATGCAGTACTGTACTAAGCGTGATGAATGTGAAGAGTGAAACATTTGCTCTCAGAACGAAAGTAGCACTTTTTTCACTGCCATACCTTAAATTTTCATTATTTTCTTAGTAGTCACAATCACTTTTTTTATTTTAAATGTTGGTTTATTATACCCAGTTGTATGTGTATGAGCGTGGAAAATGCCCATACACAGAGATGTAAAAGTGGGAAAGATCTCCTTTAACCAATGTTTTCTCTCTGTACTGTATTGTATTTTTTTTTTGTGTCATTTGTTGATTATTTTGTTGATTTATCTACTTTTTTTTTAGGTTGTGGTTTTAGTTATGTGTACATATTTTTTTGTGGGCGGTTTACTGTAATATGCTTTTGGGTTACATCATTCTATTACTATATAGCACCTTTTTTAATAAATGTCCCAACAAATATCAGATATGTGAAAAGTAAATAAAAACATTAATTTGTATATGAAATATTTGTTTGTGTATTTTTGGGTTATGTTAGTAAACTGTACAGTAGATGGCAGTGTGGCGTCAGTCAAGAGTTTGCTCAACCTTGTGGGGAACTGTTATCTATTTTTTTCCCAAAAGCTTTTGTTTTAACATGTCTTTGTTGTAATTTAAATAAGTATTTCTATAAAACAATACTCTAGACTTTAGAAATATGGTCTGATCAGAAAATTAACAGGATGGGATGCCTAACAGGATGGAATCTAACAGAATACAACTTGTTTGATGGTTTATATAGGCTACATAATATATATATATTCTTTTGTTCTTTTTTTTATTTATTCATCAATGAATCCTGAAAAAGTATCAGAGGTTCCAAATCTCTCTCTCTCTCTCTCTCTCTCTCTCTCTCTCTCTCTCTCTCTCTCTCTCTCTCTCTCTCTCTCTATATATATATATATATATATATATATATATATATATATATATAAATACATATATACATATATAGGGGTGTAACGGTACATGTAGGCCTATTCGTATTGAACCGAAACCGTACGGGCGTCACGGTTCGGTGCACGAATTTACACGGAGAATACACGGTATAAAAATAAATAAAACTCGGGTGCAAATTAATTAATGTAATGCGGAACATACTGTTAGATACGCGGGTTCTTTAGGGACACATAATCTTTACCATCGGCTTAGCTCTGAACGCGCGTTCACTTCAAACGTTGGCTTTATACGCGCGTCCTATTCGCTTTGGACTAGCGTCGAACTAGACGCGAATTTGACGCTCTATTCGCGTTTGGTGTGACCGCATAATGAACAGGCTGCAATGTCAAGATTGCAATGCAGAGGCGCGGCCGCGATCGAACTGTGTGTGTGTGTGTGTGTGAGAGAGAGAGAGAGAGAGAGAGAGAGAGAGAGAGAGAGAGAGAGAGAGAGAGAGAGAGAGAGAGAGAGAGAGAGAGAGAGAGAGAGAGAGAGAGAGAGAGAGAGAGGGAGGCGCGATCGAACAGTGGAAACATAAAAACATACTCGGTCAGTTTGTTCATACAGATCATTAAACCTGCAAAGTGTTTACTTATATTTGTGTACACTCGCAATTAAAACGAAACATTGTGCTTTTGTCACACTGTAAACTCTTGTCAAACTGTAACTTACAACTGTCACCCAACCAAAATCACACACACACACACACACACACACACACACACACACACACACACACACACACACACACACACACACACACACACTGTTTTAAAAGCAAAACATATTTATCCAACTCCATTTCAAAACAGTCTGTGGGTCCCATCTTTTGGACATTCACCATATTGCATTGGTTTTCATTTCTTGTCCTCGGAGCACTAATCTTACACATTCTATCTACATTGATTAAAAAAGAAAATCGAATGTGTTTTTAATGGTAGTATTATTTTATACAGAAATCAATTATTTATAATTCAGATGAGAATAATGTTACATTGTTAATTAATAATGTTAATTAAAATTAAGGAAAACAAATATATTGATCTGAAATATAGCAAAATAATTTTAAATTAATTCAGGTACAATTACCAAACATATCGCAAGGTCTTTTTGTCTTTTTATTAATTTAATTAATAAACTAATTATATAAAACTATTGTCAGTGCACTACAAATAAACTGGGTTTATGCCTTTATTAATAAAACTTATTTAAAAAATACAATGCCTTCTGCATTTTTGTTTTGCTTTTCCCTCCATTGTACCGAAATCGTACCGAACCATGATGTCTAAACCGATATGAACCGAACCGTGACTTCTGTACCGTATATATATATATATATATATATTTTAAGCAGCACAACTGTTTCCAACATTGATATAAGCTGAGTATCAAATCAGCAAATTAGAATGATTACTGAAGCATCACGTCACACTGAAGACAGGAGTAATGATGCTGAAAAATTCAGCTTTGCATCACAGAAATAAATTATATTTTAAAGTATATTTAAAAAAATCGAAAATAATGATTTTTATTTTTTTAGTATTTTAATATTTCACAATATTAGTGTTTTTTTCCTGTATTTTTTTTACCAAATAAATGCAGGCTTGGTGAACATAAGAGACGTGTTTCAAAAACTTCCCAGTTTTTCATTGTTTATAAATTGCGAGTTTAATATTTTATCAAATGTTTTAAGACCAGAATATGGAGGAGGAGAATAGCATTTTCACGATAAACATTATTGTGTTGTAGCACAACATACATTAACGTGGAATGGAGAAAGACTAGGCTACTGTAGTTATCTATGATCGTCAGGCTGACTGGAAAGTCAGGTCTGGGACAGGATAGGCTTAGATTTAAATACAAAAACAACTTCACACCCTTCTGTTGAGGTCTCATCCTAAATTTAAAACCAGCGGAACAAGAACATCTACCTGACATCCATGTGGACACACAGTCACAGTTTCTATAAACCTGCTGTGTTTGTGTGAGTTAAATATCAGGGCAGGGTGTGTCGCAAGCGTTTATGTGCAGCTCCTGACCAATCAGATTCGCCCATGGCCCGGTTTTCATTCAAGTGGGTGTGGTTGCTGTGACGACGCGGCAATCCTGTCGACATCTTTCAGGAAATGAATTTAAAGAAATTAGAAATCCAGGAACTTGAACTGAAACAAGACGCGGCGGGGAGGACCGAAGAGTCGAAGAATAAACCCTCTTTAAACTAGTTTGAATGTTGGGCACGCGGAACCGAAGGAGATAACATGTTAATAAAGGAATTGTAAGTAATTTAGTATGATTTAACTGAGCCGAAGTTTTGATCTCGCGCTGAGCTTTGAGTTTGCGGCGCGTGTCTGGTACCTTTCGCCGGCAGCTGCCAAATGAAGTAGATTTATGTTGATATTATTTTGAATGTTTTTTTCGGAGTGGTCACTAAGTTAAATCAAATAGTCCAGAGTTTGGTCTATTGTCCTATTTCGGACTATATTGTTTATATTCCAGCCAATCCCAATTCGTTTTGATCAATCATCAGTTTATTTGTGCAAAGTGAAAGAAAAAAACTTTTACTTTTTTTGAAGTTAGAAAATTCTTTAAAAGCTGCAGGTAGTAAGTGTGATTGTCACATGCTACCGTTCTGCCGGTCACGCGTCATTATGCACCGGTGTGCACGTCACACACGTCAAAGTGCACTTTGAGACTTTGTGTTGCTAACATATAGGCCTACTACATATTCAGGAATTAGTCCTCTAACCAAATTATGACAGTAATATTTACATAACAAGATTATATATATGAATAATAAAGATAATTCTATATGAATTGTAAAATATTACATTAGACGTCAGTACGTTGATGTTATTACAGCCATATTGGTTTTTATAATACTCGATGTGGGTTGAATATGGTGATTAAGAACTTTTAATTTGACACGTCATGGAAAACATGAGAATTATCAGGGGGAAGAATGTGGAAAGTAATCCTGGTTTTAAAAGATTAGTCTGCATTTCTTCATCAGTTTAACTGTTAATGTTTTTGTATTTTGTTGCGCTTGGTTGTAATAAAATTCTCTGGAGCTTTAATTATGTTTAGTATGCAGACATCTATACCTTTTTTTATTTTATTTTTTTTTATTTATGCCACATATCACACCCATATAGGCCAATATCTTATTCTAATTTGAATAATGAAGTAAACTCATTATGAAACAATATTAGCAGATCATGGCTGTTTAATGACTGCAAAGAAACATGGGACAGGTCAGGTTACTGAATAAAGCAACTTCAGTTCTTAATAACTAAAGTGCTGTTATTTATAAGATGTTATTAATGACATTGTCTTCAGAAGGTAAAAAAACAGGGCTTGTGGGATACAGAGATGTCAAAAAACAAAACAAATATGATTGAATGAACGAAGAGTTCAAAGGTCACATGGTATTTTTGCTGACTTAGTTGCCTGTCTGTTTTGTCTTTCAGTCGAATCGTCTTGCCCATTTCTGTTGAAGAGGTACGTACAGTCATTTTTACTTTTTCTTGAGATCTTACAGGTGCTTCTTTGTTATTTATGTTTATTTAAAAAAAATCTATTGTAATCTAGTCATAATTTGAAAAGTCCATCTTGAGGCTCATGGATGTATTTTGGCATGATGACAGTTTTTTTTGTGACTCCAGTTTTCCAGACTCCACCCAGTTTGTTCTGATGGGCAAGAGTTTAGACATTCGAAATGATGAATTGAAACAGTCTGAGGTTTGTGGGAAAGTGCCCTAGTTAACTGCATGCCTGTAGTGTATACAGTAGACAAGGACAGCCTGTAATTAATTGTAACCCGAGACCAGGCTTATCAGACTTTATCAAGTGTACCATCTCTGCTCCAGCTTACCAAGCAAAGGTTGAATTTGTTTATCCCTGTCATTTCTTGCCCTCGCTGTTGTAGTATTTGAAGATTTAGGTTGGTGTGTTTTTACCCTGGGTATCGGAGCGCCTTGCTGCCATCGTTCTGTATCTGTAGTGTTTGAATAAGAAATCATTATTGAAGAAGTCAATTGTTCTTGTCTAAACGGCAGTGAAAACAGACACAGGTTTGGCATGTGTAGTTGCATTCCTTTCTCTTCACCTGTGCAAAAGGCCACATAATATAGACTGATGGAGAATTAAACTACCCAACCAGCTGAATCGGGAAGCACATAGAGGATATTACATTGTGGAAGCTGGTTTTGTAGACATGCCCAGTGTATGTGCAGTCAGGGAGCTGCATGACTCATTTGTGTCTGTAT